AAATATTTTAACCTTATGTGAGTGAATGTAACAAATTCTTAATGAAGTGTATTTCTCTATGGAGGGAGGGGAGAAGTTTGTTTCCTGCTCAGTGGTGTTGCCAGTTTTGTGTCACCAGTTGCGAGTGATGGAGGTCTCTGAGGACGATCCAGCTTACATGGTTAAGTTCAAGGGTGACCTTCAAAACAGAAATGGAGAAGCGCAAGGAAAAAGCTAACATCATGTGGATCCTAGGTTTAAGGATCTTAAGTGTCTGAGCAGACCTGACAGGGCTGAGGTGTGGCGCTTGATCAGTGCATTGCTGAGGGAGAGGCAGAGGCCTGCGCAGCTTGAACAACCAGTAACATTTGAGCCATCTAAGAAAAGATCAGCTCTCGTGCTTGCTTCAGTCTTCATCTGATGAAGAAGAGGATTGCATTGAGAAATGTGTGGAGTGATACTGGGCAGAGCCAACTGTTGACATAGAGGACTGTCCCCAGAAATGGTGGCCCAAGCATGAAGGGGCACACAGTGAGATGGCATACCTTGCATGCAAGTACTTGGCAATACCTGCCACATCCATACCATGTGAGGGGTTATGGGTGGGTGTAGTTTCCTGCGTTGGGGTCAGGTGGGTCACACTTTCTGGGCATGTCATCTGAAAATGTCAAAATGCTTGTCTGTTTGAGCAACTGGTTCAGTGCAAAGAAACAAAAGTAATAGGGACACCCATGCACTGTATTTTTTTAGTTCTTTCTTCCCTTTCTCCTTTGTGGTGTTTCCATGTTCATGTTTTGTTAGGAAAACTGAAAAAGGAAGAAGCTTGCATTGTTCAGCTTCTGCTAAATGCAACTGGAGAGCAACAAGTACAGCCAAACTGTTTTAGTCAAAGACACTGTAAGTATTAAGTATTATTACATATGCATTTTATTTATTGTATTTTTAATGTGTACTGTGTCTCCCACACTTAGATGGAAATATGTTTTGTGAGCCTTAACTGTCTAATGGTAAATTAAACAGTTATATTGTGTGGGAGTGTATGCTTAAGTTTCCTTTCAGCATATTTTTGAGCATTCAGTACCTTTGAGGTTTTTCTAAAGAATATTTTGGACTTTTGATTGTTTTGAATTGTTGCAATAAAAATAAACATATTTGCATAAAGCAAGTATATTTGTTCACTCCCATACTGTTAAGGGTATTAGAAGCATGAAAAGCATCTAAGTATTCTAAGTTCCTTTAGAACAAATTTTTTAAAAGTCCGTGATTAATTTGGGATGAATCTTGAGTTAACCATTGATAAGTACGCGATTAATCGCGACTAAATATTTTCATCGACTGACAGCCCTAATATATACACTTTAAGCAGTCTGTTTGCCTCCTTCCCAGGGCAAAGGGCAACATCTCCTGGGTCTAGGGATAGATTGCCCCTCTGGGTGTGATGGCACCTGGAACTGAGGGTATAGAGTATGTTTGGGGAGTGTGTGTACAAAGTTAATTTCTGTTTGTCTCAATGGTGGGCGAGTGTTGAGTATTGGTATATGTGTGCATGAGGGCAGGAATGCATGTTTGTGTCTGTGTGTGCCTGTTTGTCTATGTCTTAGACTTCACCTCTCGGTGAAGGTCGGGTCTTACGGTGTGTTCACACCGAACGCGATAGATGCGAACAGAGCGTCAAGTTTACATGTAAAGTCAATGGAAAAGCGCGATGACACGCGATTGTAGGTCCCGTGAAAATTCAGAAGCAGATTTGCGTCGCCAAAACGCGTGAAACGCGCGTCAGTGTAGCGCGTCTGGCGCGTTTGACTCGCGAAAAAAACCAAGCGCATGAGTTTTTGTGTTGCATTTTGTGCATACGCGCGTTTCGTGTCTACCGCTCGAGTTGGAAAAATCTGAACTCCAGCGTCAAATCGCGCCACGACAACCAATCAGGAGCCTGGTGACGTGGCTGTGACCTAGGTCAAAGGGGCAGATCCAGTCAGAGCCCTTCATTCTTCAATGGAGGGAAGGCTAATCAACGCCGTAGCAAACAACCCGGAGCCGTACGACACCAGCTGCTTTCTGTACCGAGACAGGAATAAAAAGGACCGAGCTTGGAGGAAGATATGTGAAGAGATCGGGCAACCTGGTAAGTTCATTCATTTCTCTTTTGAAAGTTTTCACTGACCTGGGGAAGCCGCACAAAAGCTAGCAAGCCACCGCTATTTTCCCACTGACGTACAAATACAGTTCTGCTTTTATGCATCTTGTCATATAGGAATATATTTTATTGTTTATTAATAAACAGCACACAGTGGTCCCGCTGTTCATCCGTCACTGCTTTGCTTTTTTGCTGATTTTTTTTTATTGGAGTGCAGCATTGCATTATGTAGCCTGATTGACAAATCTCTTCTGTGCTGTGTCTCCTGCGCTTGCCAAATTTATCACGTTTGGTTTTGATAACCATCACGTTCAATAGAAAAAACAGCACAAAAACACCCATAACTATGACCCTCATTCAGAAATAGACACCTGCACCGCGAGGGAAAAAGGCGCACGAAAGTGGCGGGCAGATGAAGACAAAACATGGCATAATAATACTTTGTTTTGCAATCTACAAAGGTTTGCACTTTGAGAATCAACTTGTGAGAACTGTGACTAATGTTCATGTGTGTGGGGAAAACAGTGTATAAAGTGGAGGAAGATATGTGAAGAGATCGGGCAACCTGGTAAGTTCATTCATTTCTCTTTTGAAAGTTTTCACTGACCTGGGTCAGTGGGGAAGCCGCTGACCTGGGGGGGGCTAGTTATTCTGAGAACCCCTGCTGCAATAAATGAGGGACCACTATATATACTTTCTCTGACAATATGACTATTGTTTTCAACCTGTTAACATTTAATACCGTCTTGATAGAACCAACTGATTCTGCAGCAGAGCATCCCCTGTTGCTTCTCCGGGCTCCCAGTCCCTGAGCTCCTGCTGCTGCACCCACAGGTATGTAATTGTAGCATCAGATGTACAGGAAGCACTGATGAACCCAGGTACGGCGAGGACGTCCTTAACGCCGCTGCTCTGCTCTCCACAGTAAATAGAGAAGGGAGACTCTCTCTTCAAACACTAGCTCGACAGCTGCCATCTAGCAAAGATACCGGTCTGGCACAACTTCTTCCCACATTCCTCCTACATTTCCGGTTCACGCACGTCAAAATATGCATTTCTGAGGCGCGATGGAGTTTTCTTGGACACGTGAATGTGCACGCGTCAAATTAGGGGCGTTTGGGGCGTTTTCGCTCGCGTCTATCGTGTTCGGTGTGAACACACCATTAGACTTCACCTCTCTGGGAACATCTCAGATACCCTCAACCATCGGTGCATTGGTGTTTCTCGATGTTCGGGGCTGGGCACTCAGGTATGCACTGACTCACTTCTGGTGGTTGCTTGGCAGAGGCCTGGCACCCATTGATCGGTCGGGCCCCTTCCGGAAATTTGGGTGCCCTCGGGCCTCGGGCCTCTGGGTCCGGGGCTCAGACTGCTCTGGCGCCCGGATCTCCTCCGTGCTTGCTTCATCAGATAGTTACATGGGGAAACCTTTTGAATACAAGCATGCTCGTGCTCACAGGCGTGCACAGATACACACTATATCTTCCTTGGCTGCTGTCTCAAAGCATACCGTGCGTTGTCAGGCTTGTGTCCTGCTCAAGAACATTCAATATTTATTATTTACTTTTACTTATCTAGGTTGTTGCTGTAGTCTCCCTACTGTGTTGTTCTCCTTCTGCTTGTTTTTTTTTTCTTCCAGTAGGTGATTCAGTGGACTTTTTAATATCTTTTCTCACTCCCTCTTTCCCTCTGTTTTTCATTAACTTCTCTGGTCTACGTCTTTCCCTTTCCTATCCTCCAGTCAAGTCTGTTCCATTTGTAATAACTATTAGAGTGAATTGTTAAATGTTGTCATTTCTATGCTTGCCAACTCTGATGAAAAGGATTCCACTGTCCTTCCCCCCAGATTCTCAAGGTTCTGGGTGGGGGGCTGTAATGTTTTATTGCAGATACATCCTATCTGGAAGATCTGCTTCTTTTTGATGTAAGCTTTCTGCGTTTATGACCCTTTGGTCAGCAGGAGGTCTCTCACACACACACACACACACACACACACACACACACACACACACACACACTTACCTAGATACAGAAGTTCACACATATACAAACAATGCCTTGTCTTAGAACCAAGTGGGCGTTGCTTTCCTATGACGTGTTTTGTGTGATCTGTCTCTCAATAAAAAGGCAGCAGGAGGAGATCAGAGTCAGGGTCATTCTCGTGGTGGACACAGACGAGGCCTCCCTTGCGCAAATAATCGAACAACAAGACTGTCTTGTTTTCTTCATGATGAATAAGTCTCTAGAATTAGCGGGGCTTGTGGAAACACAGACCCAACAATGACTTAAAAGTTAAACAAAAAATAAATAAATAAAAAACAATAACAAAGATGAATAAAGTGGACCAATAATGATCTACTTGGAAAAAATACAGTATATCCATTGGGCATTTTTCTTGGCCTTCAGGCATTAATTGCGATTGCTACAGTGCCGAACAGGACAGGCAAAAAAAAAAAAAAAAAAAGAAGAAGAAGAAGAAAGAAAAGAAAACCCACAAGTAGAGCTGACAGGGGCAGATGGCGAGCCACACACACCGGCACAATTGTCCCGCCAAGCACAGCAGCAAAGCTCAAACAGAACGACCGAAAAAGAAATGTATCAAGGTGCTGCCTGACTGAGACTGTGGTGGGACATTTAGAGAGCTGTGCATAAATGAATGCTGCAAAACTAAATGAACTGAAGTAATACTGTAAACAAGTGTGGACCAAACTTTCTCCTCAGTGATGTGAGAGAATAAGAAAGTCACACAGCAAATCATCACTCAAACTTATTGGTCCTGAATGACTGGACTCAGTTTCTCACACTTCTTTTTTTTTACCAAATTATTACAACTTCGCGTGTGTAATATTACAATCATAAGTAGTAGTAGTAGTAGTATCAGTACCATGGATGATCTCGAGCTGCTGCACGTGGTTCAGGTTGTCGAGCGCTGACATCAGAGGGTCGTCTTCCTGTCGTCTCTGCTCACTGTTCTTTCCTTTGTTTTCGTAGGCGAGGACTGTGTCTGACTCGTCCAACAGGAAGGACAGACCAGCTTCAAGCAGGCGCAGCTAAGCACACAGGTCGGTCCGCCAGGCGAGTAAAAAAAAAATAAAATAAAATAAATAAATAATCAGAATCAGAATACTTTATTGATCCCTGGGGGAAATTAATAAATAAATCTCTTCAGTAAAATCTCATTATATATCAATCAGAGCATGCTCAGACACACTAAACACAGACACAGTACCTGGCAAATTCTGCAGGAGCAGAGTTTGGAACGCCACGGTGAAGGCCAGAACACAGCTCCTGATTGGACTCTTTTCTGACCAATTACCTGCAGCTCCTTCAGTCTGCACCTCGGCTCCACTTCCTCATGGCTCCGCTTGCAGCTAGGCTCAATGGCATCATCAACCTGCCAGATTTTGGATTATTGATTAATCAACCCTGATCAGTGAGTGTGATGCAAACTGCTGTGACCCCCTCACCTCTTCTTCTTTGATGGGAATGGTGGGCTCTTTTGCCGTTTCCTCCTTCACCTCCGCTGCTCCACCCGGTACTAAAACAGGAAGTGCATCACACACACAAACATAGACACACAGGAAGTGCACAACATGTGTATGACAGTATGTTTGTGCCAGGTTAGTACTGTAAGATAACAGGACGCTTTACCTGCTAGGTGCGAAGCGTAGGTCCAGAGAAACGAGTGTGTTTTCATACAGGACTCGCAGATCATCTCCTGAAGCTCCACGCAGTCTGGAACCACACAGCCCAGGTGCTGCAACAATATACAGGTACAAGAGTCAGGAGATCTTGATGCATTCTCAATCATCCAGGAAAGTAAATCTCCAAAAGTAAATTCTGTTCATCTGGACGTAGCGTTTTGTGGGAGAAACGTTTTGTCACTCATCCAAGTGACTTCTTCAGTCTCAGTTGACTGCAGTTTTCCCCAATCTTATAAACAATATGTAACCCAGTTCCTAAAATCATCTCAAACAAAAAGAGAAGAAAAATTAAAACATTTAATGTTCATTGTTCTGTTCTTACTGTCCCTGTTAATGAAAGTGAAATGAGATCAAAATATTTATTTAAACGTAGAAGGGACGCAGATTATATATGATATGCTCTGGTCAAACAAGGGTTAAGTTTTTTCAGAGGATTGATGAGCTCTGATGAGAGCCTATTGTTTTACTCCACTCCTCGCATGTCACCCAATCGGTGAAGCTCTAGGCAGCTCTTATCCCTCCTTAGTACCAGCTCCCAAGTTTTCAGTCTCTTGCTTCTACAGCCGAACAGAGCAGACGGACTAAAACTTTTGTTATCGGTAAGCTGGAGAAATTAATCTCTAACGAGTTAAAAAAAAATACCATCTAAACTGATATTTTTCACAAATTATGTATTTGCACTTGTTGTCGTCAAGGGCAGAGCGAAACCGGAAGGTTTACTGAGCTGTGGCTTCACATAAACGCTGAGCATCCACTCGACGGCGGTAAGCTAAATGTGGCTAATCAGACACGTGATGTGCGGAGTGTGGGTACAGTTGTTGCATGTCTCTGAAACGCACTGTTGTTATGCTAGTTAGATCATTAACTAAGTCATTAACATGTGAAAAGCTGTAAATGGTTAAAGCAGCTAAAAATAACTTTATGAGAGATAATTGTAAGCAGACTTTATCCTACTTCCTGTTTAAATTTTGATGTCAATCGGTTGTTTTACAATACTCAGTATTGAACACTTGGAGGTAATTTTTAGTGTATTTCCACCTGTACTAGTAGGCCTATGGTACAAGCGGGATTAAGCACGTCTATTTTAGTACTCCTATTTGTGGACTGAGCCCTTGTGTTTACGTGTTATTGAAAGTGATTATTTGCACTTTGTTCAATTTCTGATAAGCATTTGCATATTATTCCATTTCTTAAAAGGGGTAATATACTTATTTATTTGTGATTGGATATATATGTACAGTGAGTTTTTTTGATGGATGTAATTAATGTTTACAATGAAAGTGAATTATATGGTGACTATAATTCCTGAATGTTTAAAACCTTGTAGATAATCTTTAATGTTACTGCAGGTTACAAATAATTGAACCTTGATACTGTGAAATTTTGGATATTGATACTTTGAACTTTGAAATTTGATATTTTAATGTTGTACAACGTGACTGAACTGATGATGATTGAATTGATGATAGCTGATCTGAATAGTTGTTACTGCACTGTGACACTACTTTAGTTTAATTTGTGAAAGTTATCCTTAAAGGGCACGTGACATATATTTGGCCATTGTTTATAGGTCAGGTTTTTATATGGGACGAATCCAAAGACCAGGTCAGCGATTCCAGAACCCAGAGTGTTCCAGTGTTCACTGGATGGCGAGCCAACCCAAGATCCTAGGAGACGAAATACATATACACGCACACTCATTTTCACATTGATGGACTACAATCCTCTACTGTAACAAGTAGAGGATTGTAGATTGTAGGATTGTAGGATTGTAGATTTTTGCTACTTTGGGGAAAAATTTTTATACTTGACATTCTGTTAAAACCTGTTGTGATACTGTGTTGTTTACAAATTTATTTTACAAGGCTTAACATCACTAAAGTATTTTTAAAAGCCACACAACTGTGTTTGTCTGGTTTCTCTGTCATTCGTGTACCAGAGCTCTAAGAGTCGTTCTCAGTCTTCTGACACTAGCCCAAATTACTCATTACTTTGGTAATTATCCATTGGTACTTTATGTAACTCCACGTAAGTGCTACAAATACATTTGCATAATGACTGAAACCAGATGAACAGAATCAACTTTTGGAGAAGAGTCAGGAGAGGCACACCAGACAAGTGCAGGAACAGGTAAACTGATGACTCACCCGGCCGTGCAGCCAGTCCTCACACACCACACACTGAATCATCTCATCCTCCACCTGCAGACACAAACAGCTTAAGTAAAGCGAAACCAGCACAGGAGGAGGAGCTAAAACCATCAGGTGAGACATTAACAGGAGTAGTTTAGTTGTTTACAAGAATACCTGCCAGCGCAGGGAACTATTCCGAGAAGCAGGTTTAGCTAACATATCTGAGTTTGTTAATCCCAAGATAAGAGAAACTCTGATTTTTTTGTTCCAGACAAAGCATCGACGTTAACTCTGAGTCAGTTACCATGATAACAGTGAACTAAACCCACTCGCTAGCAGGTTTTCTTCAACAAACTCTGAGTTCCAACTCCTCCCTTCTTGCTGCACCTAAACCAGCTGACTGACACTGAGTCATTTCCTTACAGATAGTAAAAGCTGTCAAAGTGCAAAAAGAAATTAACTTACGTTAACTTCACGTTTTTCGTTCATGTTCTTGCAAAATCTGTAACCACATTTGTGTACTAAAGATGAACATTAACAGATTTATTATCAGCTCAGAATAAAATCTATAGCAGCGGTCCCCAACCCCCGGGCCTCGGACCGGTACCGGTCCGTGAGTCGTTTGGTACCGGGCCGCGAGAGTTGAGGCTCAGGTGTGAAATGTATAGTTTTCAGGGTTTTTAATCGGTTTTCAGCGTTATTTTGTTATCGTTTTTATCGTTTACTCGGTTTTCCTGGGTCTTTTCACGTGTGTTATGAATAAACCTCCTTTTTTTCGGTACCGGTACTAGTTTTATTTTGTTGTATTTATCCGCGACACCTTAAAGGCCGGTCCATGAAAACATTGTCGGGAATAAACCGGTCCGTGGCAGCACAAAAAAGGTTGGGGACTGCTGATCTATAGCCTCCAACTTGACTTTGTGGATAGTGATGCTGTCAGAATCCCAGTTCCTTTGCTATGTAAATATTTATGGTATGTTATAGGGGTGGGTTTTTATTAAAATCGATTCTGGCTTGGATAACGTAAAATTGATTCATTAAAATCCTGAATCGATTTTTTTAATATTAATTTATTTTGCCCGAAATGCCAGAATCCCAGGTGAAAGATCACAAAATTTCAACAACCACCAAACAGCTAAGACAGTAAAATGAGAGCAGGTACACGGCTTCTGCACAAAGACGTAAACACACAGCGTGGACCCGCGGATCAGAATCAGTGAGATGTCGCCTTTCTCACCTGATGGTCGGGGCTGAAAGCCGACAGCTCGCTGATTCTGATCCGCGGGTCCGCGCTGTGTGTTTATGCCCTTTTTGCGCTGATCATATGGCTCTTAGTTTTATCTCTCTCCAAACAATATTGACCGAACCAGCAGCAAAAGAAGATCCAAACTACGCTTCACATAAACATCGTCATGAATTCCCTCTGACTTCTGCTGACTTTTCAGGATAAAAATCACACTTCATGCACAGCTCTCTCTCTCTCTCTCTCTCTTCTGCATTATTCGCTTGCTTGTTACGCACAAGTCTACCGTTGTTTACAGCGCTGTCGGCCGACGTTTTTTTTCCCCCTTTTACTTACTTCCGAAAAGTAAACCTAATTTCTGCCGTTCAATATTGAACAAATTTAAACTTTTTAAAATTAAGCAAAATGCAAAACGCTTAGCCGTGTCTCTAATAAAACCGCTGTAACTTCAGAGGTAATGTTCATGTGTTGATTAATGGTTTTCTTTCGTTTGTGATGTACTGCAGATTATTTTTATAAAATCCCAGGCCAGGAAAATCACCTTCATGTTTTTCTGTGTTTTATCTTCAGCTACTTTGACACAAAGGCCTCTGCTGTGATGCTCACACCTTTGATAAAGTCTTGCGTGTGTCAGCTTCCTTTTAATAGATACAAAAATATGTAAATGTACTGATCTGAATTATAATATTTCTGACTGTCAAAATTTCCCAGATTCGAATCGAATTAAATCGAATCGTGGACCGAATCGATTCGGGACCTTGTGAATCGGAATTGAATCGATTCTAGAAATCAGTGACGATACCCAGCCCTAGTATGTTACACACTGATCAATGACCAATTGTTTGTCTTATTATAATCAATCATACTGATGGAAAAAATGTGTCACATTTGGATCTTGCAGATAACTTCACTCAAATATTCATGTTGAGGCTGAAATGATTTTAAGACTGAAACTGAACCAAATGTGTTTTAAGTAACATTTAAAATGTAGACTGCAGAGAGTCTGATTGTAATCTGATTACGCTTTACGTTGAAATGTGTTCACTGATTGCGGTTCAGTCATTTAATATCAGACAGCATTAGTGAGGATGTGTTGTCTTTTAAATCAGGCTGAGCGGGTCAACCCAGGCACACATCAACCGGATCACATTTTAGATTCAGTCCCAGACTGGCTCCGGTCATTTCCCAGCTCATCCCACCTGGATTCATCCTATTTTGCATTTATGAGCCATATTCATCATCATCATCATCATTTATTTATTTATATAGCACTTTAAAAACACACCTGGTAGACCAAAGTGCTGTACAATACTAATATGCACATAGTAATAAAATCAGACATAGCAATAAAGTTTAAAAAAAACAATTAAAAAATAAATAAAAAATAAAAAAAATAAAAAATAAAAATAAAATAAAAATGTCAGTTACCCACAGAGTTAAAAGCCAGGGAATAAAAATAGGTTGCTGAAAACTACCCTGAAATATCCAAAATACGTAAAAGTTAAAAGATTTCTAATATGTTTGCCTTTAAGATGAAAATGTGTCATCTATCAGTAAAGACTGATATGAGATCAATGTTCGGCTTTAATGTTCCACAAAAAAAAAAAAAACTCTTCAAATTACAATTGCTTACACAGCAATTGTAATTTGAAGAGTTTTTTTTTTTTGTTTTTTTTTAAGTATGTTTATTGAGATTTTTTGATATAAGAGGGGAAAAAAAGACACAAAAGACACACACAAAAAAACAAAAACAAAAAAAACCAACAACAAACAGCACAACAGCAAGGGCAAAAAACACACAAATAAGGCAAAAGATTACGCTGCAACGACAAAAACTGCCTGTCAATATATACGTCTTTGAGAGTAACAATAGCTTTCTGTGTCCAGACCTCAAAAGAGGCATCTAAACATGAGGGTGGAAATATATACAATATATTGGAGTATGGGTCGAAGTGTCTGGTAGAGCACAACCTTTTTTGATCTGACTAAAGATTTTAACGCAGTTCGAAACTATAAAATTATTGACCTTGGTTCACGGATTAGAGGACGAAAAAAGAAGTGCAGGGAGGAAACCATTCTCAACCCCACCACTCTCTATGACCACCCAGGGGGGGTATCGGCAGACATGACCTTTTTGTACCCTTCCTGTCTAGCAAGAGTTCTAGCATTTGCAGCCCAATAATAAAACTGAAACAGTGGCAGACCAAATCCACCCTTAAGTTTAGACTTACATAGATAAACTTTTGATGTCCTGTCAGTTTTAAAGCTCCAAACAAATGGTAATACTACTGAGTCGATCACTTTAAAAAATTGCTTATTCAAAAAAACAGGTAAGTTTAAAAATAAATATAGAAATTTAAGAAGGGAAACCATTTTGATTACATTAATGCGACCTACCATGGAAATAGGAAGAGCCCTCCATTTCTCAATGTCCCGTTTCAATTTTTCAACTTGTTCAAGATAATTCAACTTAAAGATCAATTTAGGATCCTTAGGCAAAATAACACCCAAGTATTTCAATCTGTCTGTAATTTTAAAAGGCAAAATTTAAAAAAAAAAAAAAATCAACATCCAAGTTTGCAGTTAAGGCCACAAACTCACTCTTCTGCCAATTAATTGTATAACCCAGACCTTCCCAAAGTGTGGGGCCCGCCCCCACTGTTTTAGCTGTTTGGTGGTTGTCGAAATTTTGTGAGGTTTCACCTGAGATTCTGGCATTTCGGGCAAAATAAATTTATATTTAAAAATCGATTCAGGATTTTAATGAATCGATATCACGTTATCCAAGCCAGAATCGATTTTAATCGATTACCAAAACCCGACTCCCATGCGAGTCGGACGCACCTGAGCGGCACCCGCAATCACGCCTCGCCCCCTTAAAGTCTGTGCTCTCTTTGCTGTTGTGTTGTCGGGCTGTGAGCTGAAAAGCTACAGCCGGCTGTATGTGTACAGCAACCGTGTGTGAAAAGTGGTCAATAAAGAGATGCTGAAAAGCATGTTCATGGAAACATCGTCGGGTCTGCCGTGATATGTTTACAATGGAACTTCTGCTCCTGAACCTCTGCGCACAGTGAAGTCACTTTCAGCTTTACGCAGGACTGTAAGCCGTCATCTGTGAGGCGTGAGCGGTGTTTGCTTTTAACATGGTTCGTGGTGGAGCTGCTGACATAATGTGGATCCAAAAATCCATAATTGGCCTATCTGGGGCTGAAAGTCTCAGTAAATGCACGGCGTTTCGGCGGGTACACCAGCTTCCGCGAGTGTGACGCTTATTTTGAGTGACGAAATTTTAGTGAAAATTTTCATATCCAAATTCAACAAAGCAATAGGTCAATAAGAGGAACATTCTGTTTCATCCTTTCCTTCTTTCAATAACAACGAAATATTAGCTTTATATAGCGTACGGGGAAATGCTTGAGTATGGAAAGAATGCTTAAACATTCTCAATAAAAGCGGGGCCACCTTTTCAGAGTATTTCTTATACAATTCAATGCCAAACCTATCTGGGCCTGGGGACTTTCCATGGGGGAATGACTTAATAGCTTTCGAAACTTCTTCAATAGTAATATCTGGGTTTAAAGCCTCTCGAGCAGCGTCATTCATTTTCGGGAGATCCAGCTTCCCTAACCAATCAGAAATATTGCCCCAAGATTTCGACATAATCTTCATAATATTCTCTATATTGCTCATTAATAGCTTTAGGGCTGATTAAAATTTCGCCTGATCTTGACTTAATTTTGTGTATAGCCCTACTGGCCTGTAGGCCTCTCAGCTACCGAGAAAGAAGCTTATGGGGCTTATCTCCAAACTCTAAATGCTTCTGTCTGATCCTAAATAGCTGATCTGTTACTTGACTAGATAAAATTGTGTTATACTCAAACTTCCTTTTAATGATGTCTTGAAACAAAGAGGGACAAGAGGAGGCCTTGTGGTCCTGTTCTAACTGTGTTAATTCAGTTTCTATTTCTAACAGGCATTTCCGGCGTTCTTTTTTTAATGAAGATTCAAAAGAAATAATTTCTCCTCGCATTACCATTTTAAAGGATTCCCATAAAATCGAATCAGAAACGTCTTGTTTATCATTAGTTTCCAAGAATTCTGATATTTTAGTTGTCATAAATTGGCAAAAGGATGTCTCAGACAGGACTGACGGGTAAAAACGCCAGTTACCCTGTTGTTTCGTACCACAGAAGTCCAGGACTAAAGAGGTTGGAGATCAAGATGTTGTGATAAGTTGAGCATACAACGTTAGACATCAATTTAGAATCAAGCAAAAAAAAAAAAAAAATCTATTCTGGAGTACGATTTGTGCACTTGTGAAAAATAAGAGTAATCTCTACCAGTAGGATTACACAGTCTCCAAACATCAACTAGGTTAGTAGAACTCAACATATTATTCAGAACAGTCGAAGCGTTAAACAACTGGGAGGTTTGAGTAGATCTATCCAAGTGTTTATCAAGTACACAATTAAAATTGCCTCCTAAAATTACATGAGTATCAGCGAGACTAGGTAATAAATAAAATATTTGTTGAAAGAAAGCTGGGCTATCAAAATTAGGACCATATAAATTCAATAAAGTAACATGGGTTGCATGAATATGGCCCATCACCAGAACAAATCGACCATTCTGATCACTAACCGTGGGCTCATGTCTAAATGGGACTGTTCTTCGGATCAATATAGCCACTTGGGCTAATCAGATTTTTCAGTTGACATTCTCCAGAATGCCGACTGAAAAATCTGATTAGCCCAGGAGCACCTGAACCTCTCTTTAGTCAGTTTCATTTGCGTTTGAAGAATTTTTAAAGCATTTTTATCTAATAATGGCAGAAATAATGTAACTCTTTATTAGCATTACTATTATTGTTGGAATTACTGAAATAATGAAATGGGCATAAACAGACTTGAGGGCAGATCCACTCTGTAGTCTATTGTCATGGGTAACTAATCTCACAGGTACATCAGTGATCTGTCACATTACAGTTTAATTATTTGATTTAAAACCAGATGTAAAGTTAGGATTCACGCTCATCTAATAAAACCTCAAGTTGTTAAGGTCAAATTAATGAACAAGAACATTATAATAAAATTATATATTTTATAACCAACTTTGTTCCACTGATATGATGAGAGTTGCCCAAACTGATTAAAATGACCCTTTTTTCCCCCATCCCGTTTTTATAAATAAATATGAGTCAGCACTGACACATGTTCAAATTCCTTTGTCTGCTGGACTGAAATAGCAGCTCTGCTCTCTATTTATCCTTTACCATAGTGAATCATTTGAGGGATTCATTGATGATGGCTGTTTCTACTCACACACATGCGTAACTCAAGAGTCGGCATAGCCAGTTGTTAATGGACTCTGATCAAGTTCTGAAAATGAAACTCAGAATGTATTTTTAAACTCAGAGTTTGCCGAACCTGCTTCCTGGAACAGGCCCAGATCAGTAAAGTACTGATTTGTTTTACTGTCTGAGGATGGGTTAAGGTTTTGTGAAGGACATCATCAGGGTGAAGTTTATCACCAGACATTATTCTCTCATTCTCCACCGAGGCACTTCCTTCTTCTTTATGTCATTAACAGTCTTTATTTCTAAATTTCTAAAGGCCTTTAAAACCGACTGCGCTGAGAAAAAAAAAAATGACAAAAATAATTTTTTGGATTTGAATTTCTCATGTGACACATGTACACACTTAAGGTGTTGCGTTTTTTGGAAAAGTTTTCCCTTTAAAAGAATGGACTATGAAAGAAATGAAGTGGACATGAAGCATGGTTTATCTGAATTTCAGGAGCAGACAGCAACACTTCTAGTTTGATCCAGCTATAATAGCAGTGGTTTCCAAATAGTCTGATTGGTCAGAACCATTTATTTACATAAAAAAAAGAGGGTAAAAAAAAAAAAAGTACGAGTCCAAACAATATTTTCAACAAGCAAAATATTCACATGGATTTGCGTTTGGTGTGCAAAAGCCTTAGGTCACTGAAACGTGCTCATACTGGGTTATAGATCTGTGTATAAGGGTCAGTAGTGGTCTGATTTCTCAGGTGAGAGAGGTTACCTGATCCTCTGGGTCCGGGTACGGTCGGCCGCAGGTGCAGTAAACTCCAAAGAAATTCTGACTGTATTTATTCAGACTGTTTACCTCATCTTTGTCCTGGAACACACACACACACACACACACACACACACACACACACACAGAATCAGACACGCTCCCAACCAAGTGATCAGCATCAGTTATCATGGTGATCTGTCAGGTAAACACAAATGTCTGTGCTCTGAGGTACCTCCTGCTAGTGACTCAGGTCAATGAGGACTCACCGGATGGAGTTTACACTGCAGCTCCGAGAACTTCCCGTTTCCACAGTCACAGCGGAAGTTCCTGCACCAGAATAAGAGACAGTTGTATTGACCACCTCACCGTGTGAACTGATAACTGCAGAAACTGACCAGTAGTTTCTGGTCAGTCACTAACTTATCAATAAAAGCATTGATCACCTCTTAGTGTACAGTTCAAAGAGGTCATGACCTTCGTGACATTTGTAGGAGCACGCCAAACAGATGCCGGCCGCCTCGCTGCCCTTTGGCGTGCAGGTGTTACAGGCATACAGAGCCTGCCGCTTCACATAGCCCTGAGAGAGAGAGAGATGTCTGGTCACATGGTCACCTGAGGTCTGCACTACAAGGAAGGATTTATTCCAGTCCAGGTAACTTCAGAGATAACCCTGAATCTTCTGTACTATAAAGATGGTTCACTTATTCTTAAGTTGAACCAACTTTTACTTTTTTCTTTTTTTTTTAAATTTACGTATTTACAGATGCTAATTTACAGATTAGAGATTAACAGCTATGACATCACCACTTACTGACCGATTGGATCTCTGGAAAATAGCATCACTATTGCTAGAAGATTCCTAAGCTTTTTATATATTATGTAACGTCCATCCATCCATCTTCATCCGCTTTGTCCGGGGCCGGGTCGCGGGGGCAGCAGCCTAAGCAAAGAGGCCCAGACCTCCCTCTCCCCAGCCACCTCCTCCAGCTTATCCGGGGGAATACCAAGGCGTTCCCAGGCCAGCCGAGAGATATAATCTCTCCAGCGTGTCCTGGGTCTGCCCCGGGGCCTCCTCCCGGTGGGACATGCCTGGAACACCTCACCCAGGAGGCGCCCAGGGGGCATCCTTGTCAGATGCCCGAACCACCTCAGCTGGCTCCTTTCGATGTGGAGCAGCAGCTGCTCTACTCTGAGCCCCTCCCGGATGGCCGAACTTCTCACCCTATCTCTAAGGGAGAGGCCAGCCACCCTTCGGAGGAAGCTCATTTCTGCCGCTTGTATCCGCGATCTCGTTCTTTCGGTCACTACCCACAGCTCGTGGCCATAGATGAGGGTAGGGACATAGACCGACCGGTAAATTGAGAGCTTCGCTTTTACACTCAGCTCCCTCTTCACCACGACGGACCGGTGCAGCGTCCGCATTACTGCAGCTGCAGCCCCAATCCGTCTGTCGATCTCCGGCTCCCTTCTCCCATCACTCGCGAACAAGACCCCGAGATACTTGAACTCCTCCACTTGTGGCAGGAACTCATCCCCGACCCAGAGTGGGCACTCCACCCTTTTCCGGCTGAGAACCATGGCCTCAGATTTGGAGGTGCTGATCCTCATTCCCGCTGCTTCACACTCGGCTGCGAACCGTTCCAGTGCGAGCTGGAGGCCCTCACCCGATGAGGCCAACAGAACCACATCATCTGCAAAAATCAGAGATGAGATTCTGAGGCCACCAAAGCGAAAGCCCTCCGCCACTTGGCTGCGCCTAGAAATCCTGTCCATAAAAATTATGAACAGAACCGGAGACAAAGGGCAGCCCTGGCGAAGCCCATCACCCACCGGGAACGAGTCCGACTTATTGCCGGCAATGCGAACCAAGCTCTTGCAACGGTTGTATAGGGATCGAATGGCCCGTAGCAATGGGCCAGACACCCCATATTCCCGCAACACCTCCCACAGGACACCCCGAGGGACACGGTTGAATGCCTTCTCCAAGTCCACAAAACACATGTAGACTGGTTGGGCAAACTCCCATGCACCCTCAAGTATCCTGGAGAGGATAAAGAGCTGGTCCAGTGTTCCGCGACCAGGACGAAAACCGCATTGTTCCTCCTGTATCCGAGGTTCGACTAACGGACGAACTCTCCTTTCCAGCACCCTGGCATAGACTTTCCCAGGGAGGCTGAGGAGTATGATCCCCCTGTAGTTGGAACACACCCTCCGGTCCCCTTTCTTAAAGATGGGGACCACCACCCCGGTCTGCCAGTCCACAGGTACTGCCCCTGATCTCCACGCAACATTGCAGAGGCGTGTCAACCAGGACAGCCCTACAACATCCAGAGCCTTCAGGAACTCGGGGCGGACCTCATCAACACCAGGGGCTCTGCCACCAAGGAGTTGTTTAACTGCCTCAGTGACCTCGCCCCCGGAAATTGGCGGGTCATTCCCCTCATCCCCAGACTCTGCTTCCTCCTCGGAAGACGTGTCAGTGGGATTAAGGAGGTCCTCGAAGTATTCCTTCCACCGCCTGACAATTTTCTCAGTCGACGTCAGCAGCGCTCCGCCAGCACTATACACAGTGCAGGTAGAGCAACGCTTTCCCCTCCTGAGACGTCTGACGGTTTGCCAGAATCTCTTCGAGGCAGTCCGAAAGTCTTTTTCCATGGCCTCTCCGAACTCCTCCCACACCCGAGTTTTTGCTTCAGCCACTGCCCGAGCCGCATTCCGCTTGGCCTGTTGATACCTGTCGGCTGCCTCCGGACGTATTATGTAACGTCTTTGTGTTTTTCTAATGAGCATCAGTAAATAGATAATAAATAATAGATGGAACTCTATTTTTTATTTTAATTTTCTCTGTTAGCAGCAAACAATTTTCGAACAGTTTCATTGTTCATTAATTAATTTATATCTGATCCTAAAACAGAACACCTACACTGTACCTGCTGACTTCAAATCAGATCTGTACACAGGCTATGTTTGAATTCTATTTAACCTTTACCCTCTTCAAAAGTTGATTCTGTTCATCTGGACGCTACGTCCAGATGAACAGAATCAACTTTTGGAGATTTACTTACCTGGATGATTGAGAATGCATCAAACCTTTACCCTCAAACCCATAATCAGCAGTAGATGATAGACTGACCCTATCATCGATCATTTTTACAAGAGAGATTTATTTATTTATTTGCCCAAGAGTAAGTGTGACAAAGTGGGTGAGAAGACCATTTGTCTATATTCTTAGTCAACATTATTGTTTTGATTTAACCATATTTCATATATAGTCTGCAATAGGCAAACATCTACTATCCCGGCTTTGTTTATGTTTTGCACTTTTACAGATTATATAATATAACATCTTGGTTTAAATCAATTCCTACAAGTTTGTTAAGTTAACATGTTCTTTATTTCAACTGTTAATTTGTATTGTTTAGAACTTACCTTACCTACCTGTCTTCCAGAAACAAAAGGAGGAAATGTAGTTTTAATTCCTCCTTTATACCTTCTGGGTTCATCTGAGGTCACAGGAAGAGACCAAGTGCAGACGGGGAAGAACTCTTATAATTTAATAAAGTTGATTTTAGAGGGTTTATGAAGAAATAGATTTATTGTTGTAATATGTATTGATTACACCACTGAGTTCATGTTGCCAGTAAAGAGGAGTAGTAGAGGTTTGAATATAATCATGTTGATCTTATCTACCTACTGAATGGAATAGTCCAGAGGACAAATTGTTTGGTTATGTGGAGTATTTAAGCAGAAGAACTCAGGTGTTTCAAAAGAAAGGGTCAGGTCAGTGTAGCTGTGTGCAGTTTGACCTTAATTTCCATTGATTTAAGTTCAGTTATGTTCATTTGAACTGAGTTAATTATAGAGTTGAGTTTCTTATTTGTTTCTTTGTAAATATTGTTTGGGTCACAAAATGGTGAATAAATCACTTGCTACACTGGACAGCATCATCTCCTGCACTTCTTTGACCGCTTAAGTCGAGTCCTCCCACAGTAAGTTTGCTAATAATATTGGTTGAAGCTAAGAGAAGCAGTTAACTGAAAAATAATAGCTGTTTTTAACAGCACCCTCTTCCAGCTGCGCCAAAATGCAACAATTCATTTACTGAAACTCATAACAGAAAGAAAGAAAGGCAAGTAGCCTATGTTCAGAAAAAAGCCCCAAACACTTTATTTACATAAAAAAACAAACAAACAAACAAAAAAAAAAACAGTGATGGGGAGGGAAACAAGGAGAAACTATAACCATGTTTACAGGTTATTTAATAGTCGAGGCGTCGTTTGAAGCTTGGCAATATCCTGAAAGACGCAGGAATAAGTAGTAGGATTTAAGAGTGTAATAACGGACAGAAGATGGCAGCAGTCCATCTACAAGGATGCCAGCTGCCATTAAACGCCAAAGAAGAAGAAGAAGCAGCAGTCTTCGGTATCGTATGTCCAAATTCCGGTATTTGTGTCCAAATTCAGGGGCCACATCCTTCGGAGGTAGCACTTATAGAGGCTGACAGACCACGTGACTTTCGCGCATTGCATGCCGGGAACTCGTGGCAAAACAATCCAAGTACCGCATCAAATGCAAGCATTTGCAGCACCGCGAAACGTTCATTCTCCGGTTCCAATACATTCTTGCTTTTTCTTTGGCCCCCAAAAAGGTATGTACAAAACGAAGGAGAACAATGCCGGTCCGTACAAAGACAGACTTGATGAAAAGTCAAAAAAAGATACGAGGAAAAAAATCAAAGGAGTGAAAGGGTTAGACCCTTATGAGCACACAGAGTGGACAAAAGACGTTAGCGTGCTGCCCAACTTTCACCATGCTCAGATTTATAATTATACAGTTCTTGGAGTGAGTGCATACACTCATGAAGTTTTTAGTAACTTCAGGTCACTGCAACAAGCCCAGGTACAGTTTACCGAAGGATGGGTACAGGACCTTGAAATGCACCGTGTAGAACGAAAGACCATCGTACATATCATAAGTTTACCAGTCTCACAAATCGTCTTCATAAATACACATTTGTTAACAGTTTATTAATAGGACCTTTGAGCCCAACGGTAATTAATTAGTAGTGGAAATAATTTCTGGTATACGTTACGGAAATGTAGCAGTGACAATAATATTGTATACTGTAATGCAGTGACTAGTTGATTATCAAAATAATCATTTGTGGCAGCCCTACTGTGAATGATTATATTGCACCACCCAGCAAAAAGTCTCCGCAAATATATCACCTATTGGACTGAAGATTGTCGGCTGGAAAATTTTTACATATGCCCAACCTTAGTGGAGATAGGTTTATCAGTCTGTGGGGATGTTTTGCCAGACGTTTTACTCACCTGAGGATAGGAGCAGTGGTCAGAGTCACTTCCTGCCAGCACAGCTGAAGCTTCTTCCTCTAGCTCCTCATCTTCCTCCAGAACATCAACCAGAGACACCGTCTGTTCCTCACACATCCTCCTCTGCTCAGGTACACAAATAGGTCACCATGGTGAGGGGCAGAGCAGTAAGAATTACTGGCTAGACACAGATCAATATACAGTCAGTAATATATCCACAAACACAACTAGCTGAAAGTCAGTGAATGCTGCTTGGTTTGCAGTCCTGAATGTCACGGCACAAGCAGGATTCACTGCACTGTTAATGTTAGCTATGTTATATTGCTGCCTCTGTACGTAGTCAGCGAAGTGCGCGTACTACGAAGCGTACGGTGTTCCAGATCTACTGGCGTTTAGATCAACTGGCGTTGGTCGAACAGATGTGTGGCAGTCTTGCGTTTCAGGAGCTGCTACCGACAAACCAGCAAAAAAAACGCCAAATGTGTCACCTGTGACACTTGTGAGGTTATCTCAAACACACTCCGTCAGTCTTGATGCTGTTGAACAACAAAATGTTTAAAAATGTGGCGAGTTTACCTGGTGATATCCTCACGCGCGACGCGATCGCGAAAACAGCAAACAATTAACACCACGCCGATGTTGTTCACAGGACAGCAAGAGTAAACGATCGGGAGACTCTTGTCGTCATTATCGTTCTCCTGGCACGGTTTATTTCTCCGAATTCAGCGTTTTTGCTTCATAACTACAGCGTGCAGTTTACTTTGTGCACTAACATGGAGTCGAGTCAACCAGCGCCACCTCTGGCCAAGTGCCACAGCCTACAGCCAGATCAACTGGTGACACACATCTGCAGCACGTTTGAATTCGTGTCATGCACATTTGTACCTTTCAATTGTGTCTGTTTGTGCGTCATGCAAATAAACCTTTGAAATTAATGAAATGATATCATGTATTTATTATCAGCCTACATTTGTACAAAATGCCAAATGACATACACATAGTCATAAGAATCACCATCCTGATATCAATACTTTGGCCCATAAGAAAAATGTGGTGAACAAATATATGACACACTAACATTTCACCAGTGTTGTAACATCACATGTCGTTAGCATAGTCTGCCTGTGTCTTCCCTCTGCAAACGAACATGTAAGAGTTGGTTGTGATATACAGTCTGCATAAGTGTGGTCAATCTAATAAACATTTGTAAGGAGATGGCAGTTACTGTGAATGTACAGCAGGTGATTAGTAATAAACAGTCAGACAATGACTCTGACAATCTCATTCAGTCTTGCAGAATGAATGCACCTTCTGTGGAAAGTGGTACCACACAGTGTGTGTGGACTTCCCCTGTGCAGAAGGCGACTACAAATGTTGTGGGTGCTAAATAAACAGAAAAAAATGATCCCTGTTGTCTTTGCTTACTGATTGTTTTCAGTGTTGACAATCCACATTGCTGGCATTGCATCTTTCAACATGTTTGTTGGTAGATTTGGATGTACCAGGGGTTAGTGCAGCCACTCAGCCTCTACTCAATGTGATCATAGCAGCAGGTGCAGATGTGTCACAAGTTAATCTAGTAGTAGGCTATGGCAGTAGTGGACTGAGCTCCATTTGAAACTGCTCCAGCTGCTGCGTGATAGTGGATCTGCTACAAATTGAAGATCATAAGCAAGTTTTGGAAATTAACCCTTGTATTATGTTGAAGAACAAACAATTGACATTGATTTTATTGCGGGTCATTTAGATCCGTACTGTGTAAATCCACTCAGAATTATCCAAAAACTGCAATAAAACAATAGCAACTTTATTTCCCATCAGATAAACATGTAGAACACAGACATACAACATAACTATTTTAGGAACAATTTGGTTTTTCGTTCTTACAAACACGTATTTTGAACTTGCCCAACGTTCTCAGTTTTTCAATGCTCAACATTTTCGATTTTGTCCACATGATGGACAGAATGTAACTGTGTGCTTTCTGCAGATGTACTTCTTGCATTTCTCACAAAAAGTGCTTGTTTTAAAACAGGAATCTTCCCAACTAAGATTTAAAACAAAAGATTTCTACGTCTCCTCCAGTCTCACAAACAGATGACAAACCAAGCGACACACCTGAGTCACTGACTTTATATATAACTACCAACTCTCCAGCCATGTTGATGAATTGCGTATATTGGCTGGAAATATTAATTTCCAGGGAAAGGACACAGGCAGACGATGCTTACATGATGTGATGTGACAACACTAATGAAATATTGATGTGTCATATTTGTCCAAGGTGTATTTCATTGTTATGGGAAAAGAGAATATCAAAATCATGATGACCAATTGGAGTGGTGATTTCTATGACTTTGTGTATATAATTTGGAATTTTGTACAAATGTAGGCCAATAAGGAATATATGATATCATTTTATTCATTTCAAAGGTTTATTTGCATGACGCACAAACAGACACAATTGAAAGGTACAAATGTGTTGTGCAAGAAACGAAATCAAACGTGGTGCAGATGTGTGTCACAGGTTGATCTGGCTGTAGGCTGTGGCACTTGGCCAGAGGTGGCGCTGGTTGACTCGACTCCATGTTAGTGCACAAAGTAAACTGCTCGCTTTAGTTGTGAAGCAAAAACGCTGAAACCGGAGAAATAAAACGTGCGAGCGGAACGATAACGACGACAAGAGTCTCCCGATCGTTTACTCTTGCTGTCCTGTGAACAACATCGGCGTGGTATTAATTGTTTGCTGTTTTCGCGATCGTGTCGCGAATGAGGATATCACCAGATAAACTCGCCACATTTTTAAACATTTTGTTGTTCAACAGCATCAAGACTGACGGAGTGTGTTTGAGATAACCTCACAAGTGTCACAGGTGACACATTTGGCGTTTTTTTGCTGGTTTGTCGGTAGCAGCTCCTGAAACGCAAGACTGCCACACATCTGTTCGACCAACGCCAGTTGATCTAAACGCCAGTAGATCTGGAACACCGGCGACAATCAATAAGCATGTTAACGGTTAGCGCCAGTTAGCACCAGCCCGCATCCTCGGTAAATACGAACGGGCAGCGTGCTTAATGCTAAGGCTGCTCGCTCTGAGAACAAAAACACTCACCGATCTAGGGTCAGATTGCTCCGCTTGACTGTGAACTAGTCGATGAAGCACCAAGAATAAATAATCAAGTCCGATGTTCTGATGTGTGTCATCGAGCTGCTAGCTACCATTAACCAATGACAACTTCCGGTTCACTTCTTCAGATCGTATTTGGCGGGACGGTGAGGCGAGACGTCACCGGAACAAAAACACAAATAAAATTAGTAAACAGGTCAAGCTCCACTGTACGGAAGCGTATGCTGCCACCCAGGCAAAAGAAAAATACAAGTGTATCACGTTATAACGTGAAAGGTTTATTGTTCTAACAAGATACTTTTCCTGTTTGTACAATATACTATCATGTTTGTACAATATACTTTTCACGTTTGAACAACATAATATCACGTTATTACAATATACATAATTATCACGTTCGTAAAATATAGGATCACGTTCGTACAATATAAATATTATATACTGAGTCTGAATATTAATAAAGTTTATAATAATTACCTGATAAATAAAATAAAAAATAAGCTAAGCGCTGTGTCGCGTTCACGTGTTTAACGAATGTCCTCCTACAACTGATTAAAGCGCAGCTTTCATTCCAAACATGACTCATCAGCAAAGTTTGACCCCTGAAACTTTAAAGCCCGTTATTGTAAACTATTACTCAGTTCCGGTGTGTAGATCAGAGTTCCACATGACGAGGATTTTTTGATAAATAAATCATAAAGCGAACCTGAAAGTAGTAGATGTCCGCGATGACGTCATCGAGGAAGATGGCGTCGCTGCGGACAGAGCTGAGACTCAGAGATGGGCAGAGGCAGACGGTCAGCGTGCAGGTAGAAACAGACCTTAGCTCTTTGATACGCGGAATCTCCGAGCTGAACCAGAACGTGTCGCAGCTGCTCAGCGAGCTTGTTGAGCGTGAAAAAGTATGCGCACAAGGTGAGCTACAAAAAACTACCTGTGAACAGGCGTAACAGAAAGATAGCTAGATGTGCTGAACGAGCTTCTAGGCCTCTGTTTTATTACCTGCTAAACAAATCTAGCAGAGGGTATCAAAGGCACTGAGCCTGACTCGGAGTGATGCCGTGAGTACTTAGAGCAGGGGTGGGGAACTCCAGGCTTCAATTCCCCGTGAAGCGGGAGTAATGAAATACATGTACCGGGGTTACATATTTAACATACAAAATATGAGTAACTGTATTCCGTTGCAGTTTAAATAGGTGGTAATCAGAATACAGTTGCTTTGTTGGAATAAATGGAATACACGGCGGTCATTTCCTGTTTCATATGTTAGGCTATCCCCTTGGTGATTAATGTGGTCGGGCGTAAGTTTAGCTTAGTTGGGTGAGCATGTAGTAGTGGTGGGTAGAACTTTGTGCCACCAGAAACTGAATTTGAATAAGTTAAATTCGAATTTGAATTGCTCAGATTGAATCTGAATTGTAACTTGAATAAATGCTTTTTAAAACTAAATTTGAATTAGCCTAATTTGAAATTTAATATATTGGTTTGAAAATGATTGTCACTAAATTGAAATTGAATTTTATATTTAGAAAATGAATTCATTTGCTTTGAAACTGTATTTTATCCTTTAAAAATGTAGCTTTCAAATAATTTCAGTTTCACTTCTCACCATTCAGTTTCATTTCTAAAATTCAATTTCAGTTCCAAAATTCAGTTTTTTTGGGACTTACATCTGGTTCCGGTGTTGTGCCAAAAACTGATTGCTCGTATTTAAACTGCTAAAGCTGCAATCAGTTTTTGGCAGTGACTTTTGTATATATTTTATTTATGCAGTTAAAAGAATGTCTCGTTGACATTAAAAATGTCTTTTGTGAGAGTAAACTGGCCAAGAAGAAAGCAGAAATTGCAACAAATATTACAATCATTCTGTAAATATATTTTAAGTGGACAAAAAGGACCGGATTGGTTATAATGTAAGTACAATAACAGAGTTATAAAGATAGTTGAAAAACAGGTCATTTTTAAATTTTATATATAACCCCTTTGTAAACCATGTTCACCGAAGTCATCTTTACGTATGTTGGTAAATAATTAAAAAGACATAAAAACACATGGAAACATTAGAAATCAGTTTTTGGCAGGCGATCACTTTTTGACACAACACCTGTTCCAGAGCAATCGAGCACAGGTTAATAGAACTACGTTTTACCAGTGGACCGAACGTGTTACTGTCAGGAATCTATAGCATCTTGAGCTGGAGCTGGATTAAGACTTCAGAATTCATTTGTCTTTTTTTTCTTCTTTTTTCCTTTCCTTGATGATCCAGGTGTCTTGAACCTTTTCCAGAAAGCATCCAGACATGAATCGACTTGTCAGGGCAAAAAGATTCAACTGTTTCCCCATTAATGGAGACTTGCATGCAGTCATTCAGTGTTTCAGGGTGTAGAGATGTGTTTTCTTCACTCGGTTCATGCAAGAAAGTCCTCTCTCACAGATGGCTGTTGATGGACTAAGTGTCAGCATTAATTTCAACAGCAACAAGATATGAGAGAGGTGTTCTGGATTCTCAGAGAGGAGATCTCTGTACAAGCAATATACTTTGCTACCCCGGTGTTCTGCAAGCCACATTTTTAGATCCATCTGCTCTTGTGGAATTTTCTCTTTCTATTCTGCATCTAGCAAACAGGCAAAATGTGTGACAAGATAATCCACCTCTTCATCCCCATAATTCGCCAACTCTTTTCTAGGGTAGGGAAGAGTGGGAGGGTCAAAAACCTTGAAACTAGAGAGAGGTTTTTCCACGCAGATTTTTAAATCTGTTGTCCATGTACTTGACTGTGTTGTCAATAATCTTCTGAATCTCTGCACCAAAGGTGTCTCTGTCTGTGCCCTCACCTCTTCTAGTAGGTCGCTGACTTTTTGTTAGCTGAGTTCCACAGTAGCAAATGCTACCATCCTGGTTCGCTGTGAACTTTGTGTCCAAGGGTTTCTGATATTCTCCTGGTTTTGTTTTCAGGCTGAGTAAGCGTGATGTGGTGCTCTCAACTAACTGATTTGTTTAGGTGTAATGTTTAGGTTTTTGTTTTTTTTGTTTTGGGGGGGGGGGGGGGGGGGGGGTGTTAGGTTTTCATGCTGAAAATCAGTACAGCACTTGGATAAGATGGTACTGTAGTCCAACATGAAATGCAGGAATGCAGAATGCAGAAACAGTCTTCATTTTCTGCACCACCCCCTTATCCTTGGCTGCATCCTCGGCTTTGACATCACTTCCTTCTGCCATGTTCTCCATATGAACAACAGTGGGAGTGTAATTTTTTTTCCACAGCCTTCAGGCATCTCAGCCAGCTTGGAACCCACTGTGTGCTCTTCAGGCCATTGAAATGTGGCAGCTTCTCATTTAGCAGTTCACTTATTTCTGTCAGCTCTCTTCGCTTCTTTGGGGAATAGTAGTACACCTTTAAGATGGTTTTCAGTGTAACTTCAAATTTTACCAGACAGTCACAGCTTTTCACGCTACCCAGCACAGCTAGCTCTAGTTTGTGTGCCACACAGTGGATTGTTATGATGTGGGGTATCCTCTGTTTCAGTCTCCCAGCTACTTCTGTTTTCTCACCCATCATCACTGCAGCACCATCAACATTTGCACACACTACTTTCTTTTTCCACGTGTCTTCTGTGATACCCATGGTGTTCACTGCTTCTCAATAGCCTCTAAAATACCTGCAGCATTTGTACTCTTGACTGGCTGAAATTTGATCATGTATGTAGCTATGTCACTATTATCTCTCACATACCTGACATGAACCAACTCCTGTTCTATTATACCAGTGTCTGTACTGCCATCTGCAAGAATGGATAAGAACCTGCTTTCTTGAATTTCCTTTTTATTCTAGTCTCTTGAAGTTTGTGCTACTGCTCCAATAAACTCTCTGCAAGCATGGTCATTGTGGAACCAAGATCTAGGCCATTTGCTATTTGAAGTTTGCAAAGACTGCTAAATTTTGCCAATGGTAGTTCACTCTTTACCACATAGTACGCAGTTCTAAACAGCTTTTTCAGGACTTCTTGTTGTGCTTGGTTTATTTTTAGCATGTTTTTTGCAATGGGTGTTTGTTCTGGGAAAGATGCTGCAGACTGAGCACCAATGCATTTCTTGTGATGCAGAAATTTCTCATGGGTTCTGATGGGGTCTTTCCTAAAATTACTGGTCCCAACACACCCGGCAGAACATCATGTTATTCACCTTGTCATATTCCAGCCACAGAAATTCTTTTGTCCATGAAACCAAAAAACTGCGCTTTCTTTTTGCCTCGTAGTCTGATTTGTCGTAACTTTTCCGCTTTGTGGTAGGCCTTTCTTTGCCTGTCCCTTCTTCATCCTGACCTGTCTTTTTTGGCTCAGCAGAACTAAAATACCTGCGTAAATCCATTTGTTTTTACACATTGTCAAGAAATATACTCTAAAACACTTCTTCAGTAAAGACTCAGAGAAGAGAAACACACAGAACTTCTTGCTAGCAAGGGCAGCCTCCAGAACTGAGACTCGCGCTGAGAAACTGCCCCGGTCTTTATTTATACTTCAGTAAGCATTTGTTCCTTACATTGGAATGTGGAGGTGTACGTGTGTGTGTGTGTGGGGGGGGGGGGGGGGGGGGGGGGGTCAGAGTGTGGCCCCATAAACGACTTCCCTTAACCTGCTGGTCTGGAAAATCCAACAGTTCATCCATATGTAAAGAAGGCACTTAAACTAAAACTGACATAGCTACGTTAATCCTACCGTAAAACAATAAGACAAGCTACGACCTCTCTCATGCTCCTATATGTGGGGGTGAACACCCTAGAATGTTACAGACCTCCTAGGATGAGACATTCTTTCAATATGCACAAAGTTCTACCCATAATGTAGTCATATATTGCTTGGCTGAGAGCGGGCCACGTTCGAGTAGTGTTTTTGTTTTTTTTAAATTTTTTTTTTACTCAATTTCTATCTGGGATTAATGCAGTTTCTCTGATTCTAATTGCTGGAAACCCAAACAAAACACGTAATTAGAGGCTGTAATGTAAGGGTCCTGTTAATGCTGGTGGCGTCATTTACATAATGGACCCAGAGCCAGCAGTCCACAGGCAGGAATGCATTTCCGACACCACTTCATAAGAAGAATGTAATGTGCGAAACTTCAGTATGTACTATTGCTGTGTGATTTTTATTACTATTAATGAAGGATACTCTCCACCGAGCTAACATTGTTAGCTGGTGTTAGGTGTGGTTAGTTCACTGCAGACTGTTAGGCCGTTTCTCGATACAGTGGTCCCTCGTATTTCGCGAAAGTTACATTCTAAAAATAACCTGAGACAGGTGAAATCCGTGAAGTAGCCAACTTCATTTTTTACAATTATTATAGATGTCTTAAGGCAGGGGTGTCGAACTCAAATACACAGTGGGCCAAAATTCAAAACTGGAACAAAGTCGTGGGCTAACATTAATATTTATTGAAAAAAAATCTTCCTCCAGATATAAGAATGAATCTTTTCTTATGGACTCAAACAAGTTTTGCTGAAAACTCAATGTAGAACAAGTAAAGCTTAATACTAAACTATATATAACTTATATAAACATATATATAACTTAATATTGCACACATGTAAAACCGAAATTCCACTTAAATTTCTCCCGTACCCTGCCCACCAGTCCACTCCTTTGACTCCACATCAGTGGAATTCATTTCTTAAATAAAAATTGTATTTGCAGCCTTCTGAATTAAATTTTAACAGTAAACTTTTTCCACAGGCTAATAGTAAATATAAAAAAAAAATTTTTAAAAAGCAATTAAATAATAAAAGTATCA